ACTTCTTGCTTGTGGATATTGTTTTCAGCATACTTAGGAGGGATTTTACATCCCAGGGTAGATTGGAAGCCTCCAGAGATGATTTTCCAGCTTCAATCAAGAAAATATTCGTTTGAATGAAATCAGAGAGAGCCTGAAAATCAGAGGTAAGGGTAGGCAACTCCCGTCTACTGTCGCGTAATTTTCTCCCCCATACCCTCCTAAACCTTACATTATACTGGCTCAATTACTTGCCAAAACTTCCTTACTCTCTTGTCTAACATAACTTCATCAATAAAACAAGGTAATTTATTTATGTTTCACAAACTTTGAACCAAATTTGTCTGTATTAGAGTCTATTGATAGTGGGACCGGTTCCCATGAAATTGGGGTGCTCTGGTGTGCCGTACGTAAAATTGACGGCCGTTACCCCTCTAACCCCCTTGGTAAACCCCCTGCCCTGCCCCAACCCGAGCACATCCCCCACCTCCTTCGATTGCAATTTGACTCTAAAGTCAATATTAACTTCGGGAGTGCAATTGGGGGTGGGGGGTGTGCTCGGGGCGGGGGGTTTTCCGGTGGTAGGTCTATTCATTGGTCTAAGACCGGACCGAACCAGACCGACCGAGCGAAGACCAAAATGAGTAAATTCAAGGACCGAAGACCGGACCTAAATCTACTCGGGTTTGGACCGGACCGGACCAAAATATTTAGGACCGAACTGGTCCGGACCAATTGGCCCATAAAAAATACATATTTTTTTAATTATTTCAATCAATTAAATATATTTTAGACTTTTTACTTTGTACAATTCAAATAGAAAATGAATAAAAAAATATGCAACCTTAAAATGGATACACAATATGAGGTACTTCAATGTAGAACCATAAAAACAAATATGAAACGTTTTTTTAGATTTTTTTTAAAATTACTTAATAAAAAACCTTTTTAATTAAATAAATTAAAATATCTATTAAAATAGAGCATTAAAGTGTAATACGGAACTTAAAAAGTAGAGTTTTAGTATTTGGGTGTTTTAGGTCAGTAGGGTCATTAGGTCTAATCAGTCCGGACCTAAATTATTTTGGGTTTTGACCGGACCGGACCGAAACCCGAATGCCTAAATTTTCTAGATTGAAGACCGACCCGAAATCCATTCGGTCCAGGTTCGGTCTGAACCTAACGGTCCAGTTCGGTCAGTTTTTTCGATTCGGACCTAAATGTGAACAGCCTTAATCAGAGGGTTAGGGGGGTAAGGACTGTCAATTTTACAAACAGAGCATCAGAGCACCCCCGGGTCATCCCATGACATTTATTTATTCCCAATGTCATGGGAACTAAGGGGATTGAAAATTTAATACTCCCCGCCGTTCTCAAAAAGAGTTCCTACTTTGAAAAAGTGGAAAAATAAGGAAGTGTTAAATTGTAGTTGAATTCCAATTTTGCCCTTGATGTGATGGGTAAAAGTAAGATGTGATGGGTAGATTATTAGAGAAAAAGTATGATGTGATAAGTAGGGTATGAAAAAGTAAGGGTAAAAGTGGTTTTTTAATAGAAAGTGGAAGTGTTTTGTTGGAAGTAAAAAAAATGAAAGAAGAAGTGTTTTTGAGAACGGATGGAGTAAAATTTTATACAACTTTTAAAGTGGTTCTATTGACTTTAGAACCTCGGGTCATATTATGACTCAGGGCCGTTACGGTGTTCTGTTCGTAAAATTGATGGTTCCACCCGTAAAATTGATGGTTCCTACTGGAGTGGGGCGGTGTAAGGGGGTAGGAACCATCTATTTTATGAACGGAGCACCGTAGGGGCCCCATGTCATAACATGACCCAAAGTTCTAAGGTCAAAAGATCCTTGTCCTACTACTTTTTGTATTCCTTTCGTCCCGAAATAATCTTTCCATTTGACTTTTCATGCTCAAAGTTTGTAAACTTTGACTACGGTATGTGGAATAAATATATTGTATTACTCCCTCCGTCCCAAATTATAATGCATGTTTACTATTCACAGGGTCAAACTTCATTCACTTTCTTTCTCTATTTTCGTTAGCAATTTGATAAAATAAAATATTCATGTCACTACTAGTTTTGTAGATCTTTTGATGTACTCCCTCCGTCCCACAAAAAAGTTCCTATTTTAAATAGTATTTAGTCAAATATTTGCACGCTTTGACTACAAATTGTGAGAAAAGTATATTGAATTATGAAATAAATTTTATACAATTGGATTCATCTTAGGATCTAGTGTTGATATCTCAAATTTTTTTAGCATTTCTTTATTTAGATTATATTTAATTTATGGTCAAAGTGTGCAACAGTTTGACCAATTTATGGTCAAAATGAGAACTTTTTTGTGGGACGGAGGGAGTAGTTTTTTAATATGTAATTTTTATTTTTTAATTTTATACCATTTGTCATATAAAATGGTTTGAAAATAATTTTGGTCAAACATCGTAAACCGAAACAGGCGTTATAAAATGGGACGGAGGTAGTATGATATAGATTTAATATAAATATATTTTTATTGAAACGTAATTTTGAAATATCAAACTGTAATAAAATATATCCATGTATAAACATAGATATTAATGGTTAAAGTGTAAAATTAAAGACCGTGAAAAGTCAAATGGAAAGAATATTTTCAGACAAAGGGAGGAATATAAATATTTGTTTGCTTCTTGTAGGTTAGGAGAGTTTGTTCCCTGGGATTTGCAAAATTTAAGCTGGTGATTAAGGTAATTACATTTTTGTTTTTGTTTCAATAGTAATACAGTTTTTTTGGGCCCTATTTTATAATGTTATTTACCCAGAAGAATTGGGTGATTGCTCTGTGTTCTTCTTGTGTTGATATACATGATCTTATCTAGTTGTTGAATCGAGAATTACACGTGCCACTTTTTAGTCCTATATAGAGTAAATTTTTCATATAGTGACATTCCAATTTTTTTAAATTACGGAGTAATAATCTAATACAAAGTTACTAAACTTAATACTAATACTTTCTTCTCGTTTTAATACTAAATATCGTAGCAAACCGTACCATGCTCACCCATAGTGCAGTCTGTAGTTGAATTAAATCCAACGGAGGGAGTTCAATAAAATACCGAACAATCAATTTATCTCTAATTTTATATTGTATTTTTTTTACCTTTTCTATATAAGAACTGCAATGTTCTGTGTGTTTCATTAAAACAAGAGGCCAAATATATACATGAGTTACATGAGCTACACCACTACGGTCCAATTGCACAGCCGTAGGAATAGCTAAAAACCCTTAGTGTACATGGATAATAATAATAATACATAATTATCTAGAAGTGACTAGTTATCCATTGGTGTTATCTCTGCGATTAACATTGACAGGCTTAATAGGATTATTAGACTTAATACGCCCCCGCAAGATTGGGGTGCCATCAGACACACCAAGCTTGGAACGGAGTTTGAGAAACGCAGACGCGGGCAGCGGCTTGGTGAGTACATCAGCAGTCTGGTCCCCAGATGCAATATGCCGAACACGCAGTAAATTGGCAGCAACAAGTTCACGCACAAAGAAGTAATCTAACGCCAAATGCTTCATGCGCGAATGAAAAACCGGATTCTTGCAAACGTATGTAGCACCCAAATTATCACAAAATAGCATAGGTGGTGTAAGTCAGCCAGAAGGTTTTGGATCCATAGAGTTTCGGCGGTAGCATGAGCAAGGGCACGATACTCGGCTTCCGTCGAGGACCGAGCGACAGTCTTTTGACGAGCAGATTTCCAAGAGACAACATTGGAGCCAAGATAGATCACATAGGCAGTTGTGGAGCGACCACCATCGTGCACACCACCCCAATCTGAATCCGAGAAGACAGTGAGTGTGAAAGGAACACTATCGTGTAAGTAGAGGCCATGCGAGAGAGTGCCACAGAGATAGCGGAGTATGCGCTTGGCCGCTTGCCAGTGAATGTCAGTTGGGGCATGCATATACTGAGAGAGCTTGTTAACAGAGAATGATATATCGGGGCGAGTGATCGCCAGATACTGTAGAGATCCAATAAGTTGACGATAGGGAGTAGCATCAGTCAGAGGTGTTCCAGCAGAGAGGTGTAACGGCTTAGAGGCACACATTGGAGTGTTAACGGGTTTGGCATCGAGCATAGCGTGGTGTTGCAGAATATCAGTGATATACTGACGTTGAGAGAGAAAGACGCCCCCGCAAACCGGAAGAACCTCAACCCCAAGAAAATGATGCAAAGCGCCGAGGTCCTTTAAAGAGAAACGACGGGATAAGGCTGCAACAAAAGCATCAATAAAAGCAGGATGGCTGCCAGTAAGAATTATATCATCGACATATACCATAAAATAGATAATAACAGCATCACGTTTGTAAATGAACAAGGAGGCATCGGCAGCGGACTTTCGAAAACCAAACGCAAGCAAGAAGCCAGTGAGTTCAAGATACCAGGCCCGGGGAGCTTGCTTCAGGCCATATAGTGCTTTATGCAATTTACAAACAAAGTCCGGATGATCAGAATCCCGATACCCAGAGGGCTGCTCCATATACACATCCTCATGCAACGTCCCATTAAGAAATGCGTTATTGACATCTAGCTGACGTAGGGGCCACCTGCGAGACAAAGCAACTGTAAGAATCAGGCGAATTGTGACAGGTTTCGTCACGGGACCGAATGTCTCAAAGAAATCCCGCCCAGGTTGCTGAAGAAAGCCCTTTGCAACGAGCCGTGCTTTATATCTGTCAATTGTGCCATCCGCCTTGCGTTTGATGCGAAAAATCCATTTGCATTGAATTGGTTGATGCGGTGGACGAGGAACAAGAGTCCAGGTGCAGTTCTGTTGCAAGGCACGAAATTCAGCATCCATAGCACACTTCCACTGTGGAGATTTCAAGGCCTGCCGAACATTTAGAGGAATGTCGGAATCTGCAAGTGTACACACATTAACAAGAGAATCATTAAAGTAACGGGGATTCGGCGTTCTCGCCCGCACCGGTCGCTGGGGGGTGGAGGATGGGAAACAGGTGCGACACTGGAAATAGAAGAACTGGATTGAGAGGGGAGTTCGGGCCTTGGGCTGGAATGGAGTGAAACACGATCATTACAAACGGGGGAAGAGTTTGAAGCTATAGGGACCGGGGTGGGGACGACAAGAGTAGGAGGCAGGATAGAAGATTTGGGAGAAGAAGGGTTAGTAGTGGCAGCAGGGAGAGATGGGAAAATATGCGGGACAAAGCGAACATGACGGGAGATATAGAGTTTGCCCGAAATAGGTTCATAGCACTTGTAAGCCGATTGAGACAAGGAATAACCAAGGAAAATGCACGGAGCAGAACAAGGACTAAGTTTGGTGGTATGATAAGGACGAAGCCACGGGTAACATAAACAACCGAACGGACGAAGTTTAGAGTAGTCAGGAGATTTGTGAAACAAACACTCAAATGGAGACAGGTTATGGAGAAGGGGAGTGGGCATACGATTAATAAGATACACCGCTAATTGGAAAGCATGCGTCCAAAAAGTGATCGGTAGGCCAGAACAATGAAGAAGGGACATTCCGGTTTCAACAATATGTCAATGACGACGTTCAGCCGTACCGTTATGTTCCGGAGTATGAGGCGGGGTAGTAAAATGAGATATGCCATGAAGATTAAACATAGGTACCAATTTAATGTATTCACCTCCATTGTCAGAAAAAATGGCTTTTATGGGCAAATTAAAATAATTCTCCACCAGCCTTTTGAATTGAGGAAAGAGATGAAAAACATCAGATTTATGTTTCATAGGGTACCACCAAATATATTTAGTGTAATGATCGACAAATACGAGATAATAATAACCATCAACTGAGCATTGAGAAGTACTCCATACATCAGTATATATTAAGTCAAGAGGACGTGAACTTGTCATGGTATTGAAAGAGAATGGCATTTTATGGCTTTTATTAATATGACACGAAGAACAATGAAAAGTAGACAAAGATGAATCAGAGCGACAACCCTTCCAACCACGCAGGATCAAACTCATGACTTTATTGTTGGGATGACCAAGACGATGATGAAAATCCATAAGCAAAAACCCCGGCCCTTGTGTATGATGAAGACGAGGGGTACGCATGACGGGGGCAGCAGAGCTGACAGAATAGAGATCATTATGGTTTGGTCCTTGAAGTAGTGGCATCCCCATTCGTGCATCCTTCACAAGAAAACGATCATGAAAAAATTCAACGGAAACCCGGTTAGTTTTGCAGAGTTGAGACACTGAGACAAGATTTGTTTGTAATGTGGGAACACAAAGAACATTAGACAACACAAGAGGCTTAGAGGATGCAGGTATAAGAGTGCGACCAGTGTGAGAGATTGGCAAAGTCTTACCGTTACCTAAACGAATCTCGTCCGGACCTCCATACTCCAAGGCAGTGTTGAGAGCAGAGAGATCCATAGTGGCATGATGAGAAGCACCACTGTCGAGAAGCCAAGACGGAGACGGAGCAGCAGTAGATACAGCAGCATGAGCTTGTGGCAGGGACGAAGAGTCAGAAACCGCACAGTTGTTGTCCTTTAATTTAGTTATCCATTGGTGTTATCTCTGCGATTAACATTGACAGGCTTAATAGGATTATTAGACTTAATATTCTACATATTTCAATGTCAAGTTCTCTTTTTTCTTATTTATTTACTTCAATGATAATTACAATAAAATAATTAAATAATCTTTTATTTTATAATTTTGTTTGAATATAAACATAAACACTAATGAAATTATAAATTTAGTGATAGAAATGGTTGATACTCTGTACATTTCATTTAGTATTGATTTACATCGTAACTACAGTTATTTTGAACTTGAAACTTGGGGTACTTCGTTGGTAAAATTAGTAGTTCTTATCCCTAATCTCGCTAAACTTACTATCCCCTAGCACCCTTATTCCCCCATTGAATTGCTGTTTTGACCCAAATTGGCGATTCAGGGGGTAGAAAGTACAGTGGTGGGGTGCAGGGGGGGAGGAAGGGATTGGGGTAAAAACCATTAATTTTTTCAATGGAGGATCATAGATGCCTTGGTCATAATATGACTCGACACCCAAGGTCAAAAGTTCTTTGCTGCATTAGTAGTAATACTACTAATAATGATAATAATAATAAGTCAATAGAAGGAGAAGAACAAAAACCATTAACTTTTTCTTCTTCTTCTTCTACAAACTGAGAGGGTTTTGATGCTCTTTTCATAAACCACGAGGAGCATCCATGTTATCCGCCCGTAGATTAAATATAATCTTGATATCTTTGCGGCGGTCTCACGTTTCCTCTTGGCCGTTCCGGGTACGACTTCAATAGGTTGCGACTCCGAATCCTCCTGTGCATCTTGTATATGGTCTGTATCCAGGGAAATGTTGCTGCCCATTAGAGACCAGAAATACACAATGCTGGGCTCCGTTATAGGGTCTTTAACGCCTACCTGGCGTTAAACACCGCCCCCTTTACCGCTAAAGGGACATCACTCTTGCTGCGTTAAACGTTTAACGCAGAGAAAAGGAGAGGGAGAGAGCCATTGAGGCCCAAACGGCTACAATGCCTTTGGGCAATATTTTAAATTTTTTATTTTCAATACTCTAAATACCCTTAATTTTTAACACAACAAACACAAACAACCTATTATATTTTTTGAATTATCTTTACAAAATATTTTAAAAATGTGATCATCTTTATATGACGATGAAAAGAGAGCTCTCATTTTTCATTGTTCGCAACGAGTTGTTATTAATGTTGGCAACAAGCCCAACAAGAAAAAGCGAAATCCTCCTGACGCTGTCGAAGGGTTTGCAATGTGTCATTACAATCCGTACGAGGAGATGCATACGAGCAAAGAAATCAATGAAGAAAAGAAACGATGAAACCACTAAGAAATCTGAAGCCAAGAGATTCAGAATCCGCTAACGGCAGATTTTATTGAAGATATTTTTAGTCGTTCGAATGTAATGTAACTTTAATCTTTTTTAATTTTGTTGTTATGATTAAAATCTTATTTTCTTAATGTACTTTTTTATTGAATGCATTTTTTATATATAATAAATTATTGTATTTTAAATTTAATTAAATAATAAAATATTATTAATTTAATTTTAGAAGATGTGTATTTAAAAATGTAAAAAATAGAGGTTTGAAGCCCCAGTTTAAAGCCTTGAGATTTCAAACCTATTTCCAGTGAAATGTTGGTGTAAGTTAAAGAGATTGAGGACGATGATGATGATATGGATTGATACGTTAGAAAAAAGGCTTGAAGCCTTGGGGCTTTATACGTATAACCAGTGCTTTTGTGCTTTTTATGCTGGCTCCTTGTGCTTAAAGAGATTGAGGACGATAATGATGATATGGATTCCAAGTCAGATGGTATCGATTCCTTCTAACTTTTATGATGTTTTACTTTTTCTGAGATAGGTCCTGCTGTTCGTGGATTGTTGATGAGCATTTTGAGATGAATGAAGCAATGAAATTGTCATGAGATTGTCTGTGTGGCTGCTGTCATTCATGGAAGCTTTGAAGTTTTTTTTTTCTCTTGGTCTGACCACTGATATGATACTCTAAGAATGGCTGCTTGTGTTATGGTTGATACAATTTCATTTGGATGTAATCATGCATTTGTATGCCATGAGATTGTCTTTGTGTCTGCTGTTGTTCTTGGCCCATTTGAAGTCTTTTCTTCTTTGGTTTGGCCACTGAATTTATACTCTGAGAGTGGCTGCTTGTGTTAAGGTTGACATACTTTCCATTTGGATCTAATCATGCATTTGTATGTTGTGTTTTGTGTTTTGCTTCTCACCGAATTTCTTCAATGATGTGTATTGCTTTTGTTATGTTCATTATTGTCTCGAGTTTTAAAGCGTAAATTAAAGTTCCCAAAAATAGGTGGAGGTTTGTTTTGGAAAATCAGCACAATTTCCCCCCTTCACTAGACGATTTAATAAATTCTGAGGGAGTATGTAACACGGTAATGGTTGTAATTGCCTATTTGTTTTTTTTCTGTCCCAAAAGAAGTTGTCTGTTAGTTGTTTTCGTAAATTTTTAAAAATAAAATACCTAAACTACTCCTAAAATAAGTTACACTTCTTCACCTTATCATCACCCCTCCTAAAAAATAATGTCAATTTCGGAAAATCAACTATATTTTTATTTTCTTTAAATATGCCTTAAAGTCAAAACAAGCGATTTAAATTAGGATGGAGGGAGTACTTATTTTGAAATCAGTTGAAATTTTTTTTTAATTGTTCAAAAATGTTTTTTAAGTCAGTTACAAAAGTTGTGTTAAACATTTATCACAATACTTATTTTGATATTAGAAAATATTTTTGGTAAACAAAACTATTTTATTTAAATATTTTTGGATATCGTTTTATTTACAAAATATTTTTTCAGACTCAATTTTGCACCCCAACTAAATTCAAATTTAAATTTTGAATTTAGATTTATTATTGGGTCTTGAATACATCAATTGAAGATATTATATCATGTGGAACAAGGGTATTTTATCTCTTGGCCCATTACCCTCATGTATGTAAATGTTCTTTAAGATCTAATCTTTGTTGTCCAAATTACCAACTACCAAATTCATACATGTTCTCCAAACTGAATAAAAAATACTTCCACCTCCCTAAACTAAACGTCAAATGGCCAAGTTTCAATAACTTTCTTGTATTGTTTTTGTTACTTGTTTGATAAAACAATATTATTATATCACTTTTTATTTTATAAGATTTTTTTAAAATTTTAAATATGTACATTTTTATTTTGTAATTCCACTCCAATTCTTATATAACTAAAATTGAAAATAGTTTTGGTCAAATATACTCACTCTGTCCCAAATTATAATGCATGTTCACTATTCACAGGGTCAAACTTCATTCACTTTCTTTCTCTATTTTTGGTAGCAATTTGATAAAATAAAATATTGTTGTCACTACTAGTTTTGTAGATCTTTTGATGTAGTATTTTGATATTTAATTTTTATTTTTTAACTATATACCATTTATCATATAAAATAATTTAAAAATAACTTCAGTCAAACATCGTAAACCGAAACAGGTGTTATAAAATGGGACGGAGGAGTAATAAATAGAAACAGACCATTTTGGAACGTATGGAGTAACTAGCATGGCACACACCTTGTGTGTGAGTGCCCAAACTTGTTGTGTAACTGCCCATACAATTATTTGATATATCATACCCATATTATTTAATCATAAGGATATAAGGAGTGGTTTACAAAAAATGAAGTGATCACCTACACTTCATTTATGATATTTGGCTAACTTAAGAGTTCTAACATAGGGATTGATTTACAAAAATTGAAGTGATTACTTGCACTTCTCAATTTCGCAGCCTTGGACTGATGCGAAAGTGTCCCACATTGTCAAAGTGATATGAAGCTTTTAGTCAAATGCTTAAGCAAAAAACTCCTAAAAGGATACCTTAGGAAATTATTTAATGGTTTTTCTTACTTATTCTTGCCCAAAAGACTTGCTTAGTACGACAGGCCTCCATGTTTAGATAGAAGAGGAGCATTCCAGACATTTTATTACTTCTAAAAGTATTTTTTTCACCTGCATTGGTAATCACTGTGAGATTGGGTTTCAAATTTGGATATAATTTGTTGATAAGAGATATGTTTCCCAGACCACATACATATTTTAAAAGTTAAAGTTGTTAGGCCAGAAAAAAATGACTTGAAGAGCCTGCAAGATGAGTGTAAATTACATTTTCCTTCTGTCAATAAAACATGCAAGAAATGTAGGGTTGTGAATACCCTTTTGAGAAATATATTGATCCAACTTCATATATTCTATTTGAATTTTGAGTACTTGGATAATTTAAAATTCATTTATGTTACAGTTAATTTTTTTGAACACTAATAACTCTATTACAATGTAGTATTTGTTCATACAGTCTCAATTTATTAAAACTCGTAGAGTTATTGTTTGCACCGGGAATCAAACATGTGACCTCTTATTTAAGAGTGCCATAACAGTGTCATTGAAGTACAAGATCCTTGGTTGTAATGGTTGGTATATATCCTATGAATCAATTAACCTCCAAAAATTAGCCTATCAATCAATTGATTTAACAATTAGCAATCAATCCTAATAAATGAGGTAGATCCCATAATATTGAAGTAAAATGAGAACAATACTCATAGTGAATGCATACAAAAAATTTACGAGCTTTACCTCTCATAAAATGAATTCAATAAGTAGATCGTTAGCATAAGGATAGCTCAAAACATAAAGCTACATGATGATTTATTCTAATCTATCCTCCCAAAAACTTTTAATACACAAAAGTGAAAGAATTGAAGATGTATTTACTATGTGCTATTTTGAAGTAGAATACTCAAACTAAACCTCAACAAATAAAAATACTACTTATTCCCAACCCCTGATCATTCTTCCTTGTTTCCTTATCGTAAATACCATCAATTTTGAGCTTTGCACTAATACTTAGGGTGTCAAAACATAAGTTTGTAAGCTTTTCTACAATTTCATTTTCACGATCTTATTAGCAATAACAACAAACCCTCAAGTATGAAAGCATATGAAGAGGATAAAACTACTCGAAAGCAAGGTACAAAAGTCTCACACTCTAATAAGAAATAACATCTTCTATTTAAAATGTAAAATCAAAACACGCCGCACCCATGAGGGTCTAAAATCGGGTAGACAATTTAGTTCGAATTCAAAATTTTAGGTTTCTATTTTCACAGTGTTTGATTCATCTCGCAAGCAACTCAAAAAATAAGTCCCAATCAAATCAAGCAGATCTATATTATCCCTAGCTAAGATATCCAGTTTCAAATGATGAATTTAGAAAAATCAAAAGTTGTTCTTTGTTGTAATACCAACAAAACTGAAAAGAAAAAATCTAATGAAGCAACCTTAGAAGACTAAACTGAAAAGAAAAAATCTAAAAATCCAAATCAAACGCATGAAGTAAAGTACAACAACAACCAAATTAAAAGTTAATTCAATTTGATAAAACAAGCCAAATATAACTAAGAAAAGTAATAAAAATTCAAATTTTGTACCTTATTCACACAAACATCTAGACCCGAGTACAAAATTAAGGTTAATATCCACGCTAAAAATAAGAAAAATGAAAACAAAACAAAATTTCACCCAATAAAAGAATCACCAACATCCATATGTAAAGTTTTGTGGGAGTGAATTGAATAAGAAAATATTTGCCTCAAGGGGGAAAAAGAATCAAGTGCAGTGAGTTTGGAAAGAAGAAAATTCAGAGCACGGGGTGGGCAGCGGGAGGTGGAGAAGAAAGAAATCATCATGGGGTGAAAGAGATTAGAGATGTAGTTGAAGAGCCAATTTCCATTGAAACTAAATGTGAACCAAAAAAGAACCTAATTCACCTATTTGTTTTTTGATTAGGGTTGAATGTAGTTACTAAGTGGGGTGAAAAAGAGAATATGGAAGTAACCAAACTAAAAAGGTTGATCCAAATTCATGCCTGGGAATGAAACAAATTCTAAAACAAAAAACACTTTCGATAGAACGATTTAGATAGGTATTGTTTTTTCTAAAACAAAAAACATTACATTGCAAAGTAATACTGTAACTTTAGGACCACAAGTAAACAAAACATGAAAGCTGAAAACAACAACAAAGAAAAGCATTTGAAGTTAATTTTTTTACTCCTTGTTCCTGTAATTTATTTTAAACAAGGTACAGTTTCTTTTTCATTGACACTTGTATTCTCAATCTATTAGGCTTCTACAATTGTGTTTTAGTTCATGCATTACTCAAACTGAACCAGTTTTTTTCGAGATTAGCTAAAAATAGTATGAATTCAATTTTCATCTCTTAGGCTTTTTGAAATCAAACAAAAGTGTACAAATAACACTGAACACTAAACACACAGAGTGAAAAAATTATGCAGTAAAAAAATCAAATTGCCACCTTCTCACAAAAAGGTACTCGGTATGTAGTTTAAACCCAATACATGAAGTTGCAATTCAAATCAAAGGAATAGAAAGTACATGAGTTCCGAACAACAAAATGGTAAAAGGAGTTTCACTCTGTGTAAAGCTGAATTACAACTGCATATAGCATTCAAAATTAAGTTGGCTAAAAAAATCAATGGAAAAGCCGATAACAAATACTACCTCCGTCCCATAGTATTTGTCCACTTTCATTTTTGCACACCATCCAATACACTACTTTACTCCATTTTATCTTGTAATTTATATATTAAAAATTATAGAAATTACATATTAATAATCTTTATGTTAAGACAAATCAAACAAGATCACACATGACTATATTTAGGCTTACACATTGAGAGAATTTGATTAGTCAAAGTGCTTAGATGAACAGTTCCAAAAGTCAAAAGTGGACGAATATAGCGGGACTGAGGGAGTACAAAAAAAAAGTATATATGAATTCCGAACAAGTTGCAAGGAAAAGCCAACAGTTTATTGGGCATTTGTGAGTTTCACACTTTCTGAATATGAAATTATCAAAGGAATTGAAAATAAGCGGAAGAATGTAAAGAACCAAGTGCAACAATGCATTACCTTGAACAATTAGCAACCTACCGCAAAGGGCAATAGAATGTGAATACAAATCCTAGGCTTACTTAGGGAAGAGACGAGAATCAAATGAAGAACAAACAGCTAGAAGGAAGAGATAACAAAAAAAAGAAATTAGAATTTACCCGGAGGTCGAAGATGACACAGAATAAGCGAAAAATTCCAAAAAGCTCGCTATTGAAGGAAGCCAAATTTTTAGATACTTCACTGTTGAAGATCTCTAAAATACCGATATAGAAACAAAAGAAAAAAGTGTAGTCCAATGAGCCATGAATTTACATCGTCGGCAAAACGGCAGGGAGAGGTGAGAACTGAGAATTTGACATGGAGTTTAGATTTTGGAATAAATATAGATGAGATAAGAGGAGAAGTTAGGGCGGTGGAGGAGGTAGTGTGTGGTGGACAGCAGTTCCGTGACTTCCGTCAATTAGCTAACGGAAAAAAAGCAAGAGACCTGCACAGTATTTTAGAGAAAAAAGTCATATTCATTAACTTGTGGAGACACATAAGCTTAATTACTACATTTCCTACATTCAAACCAAACTGTTTGGCCCTCTGACAACCACATCCCCACCCATATTGGGTCACTACACACGGATGAAGGGATCACGACTGGAGCCCGTCACCCTCCAAAAAGCGTGGCAGAGGCAGTATTCATTATATGAGCATGAATGAAGTCTTGAGTGAGAACAAAATTACAAATAAGCAAGCCAAAATGTTTTTAAAATTTGACTTCACAATCGTGCAGCAGGTCAAATAAGCAAGAAACCGAGTTCAGTAGCCTTTTTACCTAGGTTTCCCTAAGGTATTGATCGGCATTCTCCATTCTCCTTATGGAACAACATTTAATGAATAAGGATAATGGAGGACACCGATCAACTCATATAGTCGCTTATGTTCATCATTATTCCATTAGGAACAACACCATACCCTCAAGTATGAAAGCATATGAAGGGGGCCAAAAAATTCTTCAAAGCCAGGAACAAATATGTGACACTAAAATAATAAGTATCAGCCTCTATTTAAAATGTAAAGTCAAAACACACCAAAAGCATGAAACTAAACAACTGCCTAGACACCGAACCTTTTTACCCCCACCACAAACCAGTGCAGGCAATACAAATGTGTTCCTGGGTTTGAATTTTATTGGCATTGTGAAGATGATGGATTAGGTGACAATGAGTGTAACATATAAAATTGTGAATGGATTCAAAAAGGGGTAAAGTTAAAAGCATAGGAAATATTATTATGTTTGTTTGGCAAATGTATGTAATTTTTAAAGTTGAAACAATAGAAGATCTGATAGAATAAGTAGTGGAACATACTCTTGGTCTATGATGATGAAGTCACTTGTTGTCTGTTGACCTTTTTGTGTGAAGACAAACTTGCGGGGCAGTTTGGAAATAACAGTTCCAAGTACATTTGTTATTCAGGGCATAACAGTGTTAGATGAATAAGTCTTTTAACACAATGGGCATCTAAGTGGATGCAAAAATGACCTCACCTCGACAACAACAAAACCTCAAAGGCTCAAACTCGATGCGACTTGCACCAGAAAATATGCAGTCTAATACCCTCTTTAAAGAAAAAGGTTATTCACGATATGCATAGAGTGTTGATGAGTCTGTCGAAATAGGATTGATAGTTGTGGGTAGAGGAATGTCAAGAATATAGGAATCACAATAGTTGAATGTGTTGGTGTATGTATTGGAAGGGTAATAGTTTTTTTGGAGAGGACAGTTAGGAAAAGAAGAAAAATATTAGCCAATGTCTTTGAAAGCAAACACGTGGTCATAATGTATATCATAAATGAGTTAAATGGAAGACCTTTATTAGTAGAACAGGTGCCGGAGAATTTGGAGCATTGAGTAGTCGCTGGACCCTATTTTTTTTCTTGTTCACGTAACTCACGATATCTAAGCCGACGTCTTAATTTTGTTTGTTCACGTTGAGTACCCTCGGCGACTGGTTGAGTAGATGAATATCCAAATTCCATTGTATCTTTAATAACTTAAGAATACACCCAAGCGTTGAGTAATATTATACATCATGTAATTACAAATATATGTATTAAATTTAGTAAATCGTATGTTTTTTTAAAAAAAAATATGTGGCTACCAAATAAGAGAACAGAGGTTCTTTTAGAACTAAGTGTCATTACAGATATCTATATCGAAAAGTTACAAATGCTTATAAAGAATTTTAATTCTTAGCAAATAATTTTGACATTACATTTGTAGAAATACATACAAAATCTGTTTTCAATAAAATTTAAAGAAATATATCTTTAAAGTGCGTAAACATACCAAGAAAGTGGAACAAGAAGTTGATGAGATAAAAACGGGGCACGAAGAGTACACCTGTGAAGACCATAAAGAATAAAATGTTTATCAAAGTAATTACATAAACACCTTCTTGACATATATGTAAATCACCACCTCTATGAATAAAGAAATGTAACAAAGTTGGGCACCCACACACGATGAGTATGAGTATTGGTCTCATTTTACTTCAAAACTATGGGAGAACATAGAATTTGTTGAACCGAGTACAATACGTGGAAGTGGAGCTGATGAGGCGGTGGAAACTACCCCTAAAGGGAAGGAGCGTTATTGCTACTAAAGGTTCTTATAGGTTGGATATAATCATGGTTAACAATTCTATGATGGAAGTTTACGAGGATATTTTCTCCAAACATCTCAATAAGGCCACATCTGACCTCAAACCTGTATTTTTATGCTGCAATAATCCTGATAAGGGTGGTCCTAAACCTTACAGATTTGTTAATGCATGGGTGAATCATCACAGCTTCCATAATATTGTCTCTGATTTCTTGATAAAGAATTTTGATCATGGGGGGATGTCTAGATTAGCCTCTAAAATCAAGGGTCATAAAATACAGGTTAAAGATTGGAACAAAGGTACCTTTGGGAACATATTATCTAACCTGAAAAAAATCTAAGGAAGCGCTCCTCAAAGCTCAAGAAGTATATATGAAAGAGACCCTAATGTGGAAAACAGAGAAGCTGATAATAAAGCAAGAGGCAATCTCATTATGGCCTGTGATAATGACCTAAGCTATTGAAAGCAGAAGGCCAATCAAAAATGGATGGAGTGGCGCAGGGACCCGACTACGGCTTGGGCTGACCAAAAAAATGGCCACTGGTTTCTAACTATAGGGTCCCGGCTTAATAAAACATGTGTTGCATTTGTTTATGAAACTGCTGATTTTAAAAGATATAAGCTTTTGGATGGATTCCTGCATTCGGTTCCGGGTACAGGTATGTGGGAGTGTGTGGACTTTTTCCCAATTTCATCCGTTTACGAAAATGGGTCTGGCCAATCAATTAATGGATCGAGTATCAAGCATGTCCTCAAGAGCCTTCATACACCACTCATTTTGAGTAAAAAAATGGACAAGAAAGGACATTTTCAAAAATGCAGTAAATAAAAGAGCACTTGAAATAGAAGGAATAATCAATTGAAATTTTAGAAAAATAAACACACCAAACACCAACCAACAAATCCAAAACTAAAAGTCACATACACATAGAGTCATGCAGTGTATACCAATCTTAAGCAATAGAAATTTTAAATTATCAATGGAGTCCTTTTTTTGGGAAGTGGCTGAAGTTTAAAGAAATTCCAGTAATTTAGCAAACTGAAAAAAGAACTTCAATTTTTATGTAAATTCCAGAAGTTTGAAGGGATATCCAAACTTTGCAAACCGAAAAAACCTCAAATTTTTTGGAAGTGGCTGAAGTTTCAAGGGATTTCCTACTTTTGCAAACCAAAATTGCTGTGAATTTGAAGTAGGAAGAATTGAAATTGAAGTAGGAAGAATTGAATTAGGAAGAATTGATATTAAAGAGGCAGGAAGAGACAGCGGAATACCTGCGAAGTTGAAGGACGATAGCCGTACCGGAAGAAGAAATTGTAGGAGGATAAAAATAAAAGTGAGCAAATGATGTGCAGAAAATAATGAGCCCCAGAACACAATGATCCATTAAGAAGAAGTGCAGAAAAAACCATTCTGATTTGAGCTAACATACCAACTACCAACCATATGTTATGTATGCAATCACATAACCAAAGAACAAATAGATGTCACTTACACACATAAAAAAAGTCTATGAATTCAGTTTGTATGTGTATATGAAAGTTTGTTCCAAATAAGGACCTAAACAATGGATGACAGACATAAGGCAAGCATATACAAAGTTTAAAGTAATAGAGTAAATAACACAGTAATTGAAGTAGAAAGTAAATTGCTTGTCTTATGCTTTGATTAAAACATATACAAAGTTTGTATTGGTTGGGTGGACTTATTTTTAATCAAAGTTGATGTCATCCCACGTGACTTTAATCAATTTTTAATCCCAGGTGGACAAATAAATTACAAAGCTTGGGTGGACTTATTTTTAATCAAAGCTTGGGTGGACTTTGCATTAATAAATCAAATAACACAGTAATTGGCCTATTTAGTCTATTTAGTCATAAAAGTCAGTTTTTATGACTCTATTTAGACATAAGGCAAGCATCTACAGACATAAGGCAAGCACTTAAACTCTGTGTGAATTCACTTCTTAAGTGGACTTATTTACTCTATTTAGTCATAAATCATTACACACTTTTATATGTTTTCTGCAACCAAAATTCCAGATGAGATTAAATTCAAGAATGCCCAAAGGGCCCAGTCTTTTTTCAAATCAAAATTGAACAAAATTGATGCAGAGCTTCAGCAATCACATTACTCAAAATCATGTTAAAAGAAAAAATATTCAAATTTGCAGAAATTGGAATTCAGAGCAAAAGAAGGTACAGATTTGAAGATTATGAGGCATGAGGATATGAAGATGTGTGAAGAAGATCGACATACCTGGTAAATGAAGAAGAAAGCTGAATAAAAACAGGTCAGTGAAGGAGATGAAGGATATAACAGCTGAGGGGTGAGAATTGAAGCGCGAGACATCGTGGGGCGGCGGGCGGCGAAAGGGGCGAATGGGGAGTACGCTGCGTAGTGAGAAGAGAAGGGTGGGCAATTGAGAAGAAACGACTTTGGAAAACGGAGCGTAGGATTGCTGTAAACTGACGGGGAAATGGGCAGTTGGACGGAACAGTGACGGAAAAAGGACCTAACTTGAGGGAGGAAACTTTGTTGCGCCTTGTAATATAATGGGGATTTTGTAAATCAAACGGTAAAATCATCTTGTGCACCCTCTTTATATAAGATTTAATAAACCCTGATGTTCTCGGCAAGAATTAAACTATACCAATTACCAAGAGAGGGATATAGCAACACAGAAAATGAGTTGTATAGAAGTTCATTCATTGAATTATACTTAATTATTGGAATCAAAGGCAAAAAAATCGATCTCCCATACGCGATGCATTTACTGAAAACTAACCTGCCTTGAAGAATCGATGAGCAACATCTTCCCTATTTTTCTTTAT